AAAAAATTGCTTTATAAAATTTACAGTTTATGTAAAAAAAATACAGACACAGAATTTCTGCAGTACAGACTTTTTTTGCAGAAGGACATCACTGCAAACAGGAAAAGCACCACAATTATAATAAAATAACAAAGTAATCTTCTATACTTCCCAGTCTTTTGTCACATGTTCTCATCCACATTATACTTGATATCTTCTGTGGCCCGGCACGGTAACTGTGGCCCTTTGGCCTATTATGTTTTCCTACGGCGACATCCCCAGCCTTGTCAACATTGAAAATTTCATGTGGTACTTGATTGGCCTCTAACTTCATGACTTTCTGAAAGTAATTAGACACAGTGTATGCAAATGCTGTACTGTATATGTACTGTATGTACCAATGAACTCCAGGTTTAAAGAGTAGTTTACTGCAAAACACACTGTGTATAGTACAGTAATGACTGTAATGCATAATCTTACATGGACGTATTGGTGACAGAGTTCTTTGATGCGCTCACTGTTCCTTTCAAAAACCTCAAGAGTCAACTATTAGAACATATGATCATGTGATTGGAAAAACCAAAACAAGACATGAGTGTGCTTTCTAGATGGGCTTTCTAGATGGGCTAGTGTGCTTTTTCCAGCTGTCATATATATATATATATATATATATATATATATATATATATATATATATATATATATATGAGAGACTCATATTGCTGTTATATAAATTAAAAAAAAATAATATATATATATATATATATATATATATATATACATTTCTTTATTTATTTATATAACCGCAATATGCTGTTTCTCATTGGCAATTGAATAAAATACAGGGAATAAACTTATGTTTCAATTCAAATGCAGTTCACAATTAGAACAGCTGTTCACTTTGACTTTATCCTATATAATTTCTGTTTAGAACATGGTGTTGTCTGTTCTGACATACTGTGTTAAAGCATTTGTAAATTTGACTGTAAAATTACATTGTTTTGGTCTTGGTTGTGTTTGTGTGTAAAAGAAGTTAAAGCATTTTAAATTTGTGTTAACTGGATGCATTTTGTGTCAAAACAACAAGAAATGTGTTAATTGTATAGCCCACGAAGACGGATGTTGTGGTAACTGTGTTAAGAGTTTAGGAAACTTGTTAAATGTATTGATAAAAGTGTCATAGCAATTGTAAAAAACTGAGTCTACCATTTAAACAGTGATTTTTGATTACCTTAATCCGAGTCATAAATGAACTAAGCAGAAACTAGATTAAGACATGTGCAGTATGCTGATTTTAGTGCTGTTATTGAAGTGCAGTACAGACATGTAAACACCGCAATCAAACTATTACCGCCATGAAGGACTTTCGCCACATTTTGTGACAGGAAAGTCAATACACACACGGCTGTTTGACACTATTCTCTGCACCTACCCAGTCAGTGAAGGACCACAGATACCTGAATCGCGAAATGCTGAGTTTTTATCCCATACGGCATGTGGTAATTCCATTAAAACAACACTCTTCCAGCAGTTCATACTCACATCCAATATCTCGTTTGTCATGGGGGCATGCATGAAATGTTCCTGAATAAGTGTGAAAGTGTCGAACTGGAATTAAAGTCAACAAATTAAAAATGAAACACCTAAAATTACATGAAACTCTTTAGGAAATGTGGATAGCGTGGTGACGCAATGATGTCAATCAAACTCTGTGCTATAACATGCAAAATGGGATCATGAAGGAAACATTCAAAAAGCATCTCAAGTAAACACCTTCATATTGTCTTCATATGTCTTAATCAGATAAAGGCAAATAATTTAATTGCTGATGTCCATGTAAACGTAGTTTTAAGGGCCATTCACATTTGGCATCTTTTGCGCACACAAGTTCATTATTTCCAGCGGAGGCACATAACTTGTGGCCGCATGTTGGGCGTGATTAGCACACAGCACAAAACGTATTGCACAAGCACCTAGTTGAAAATATCTCCACTTTTCAGAATGGCTCAAGTGCACCATGAGTCACGTGAAAAGAACTGAATAATCAGCTTCATACTTTCTATGGAATTTACACATTTTGCTAGACTAATTACCTCAAATTAACACAGAACATTAATTTTCTCCAAAAATAAAACTTGTATCAGACCTGCAGCAATGTTTTTTAGTTTGTACTCCTGTGAGAAAATGGTTGATGGTCGTTTACAACAACAACAGACAAACATGGGAGCATGAGCGCAAATCGCATTAAAAATAGTGAAGGAAGCGATGCGCCCCCACTTTCAACACGCTTTTATACACCATATGTGTTTAAGTCTGTTCCAATTATTATTTATTATTATTGTTTATTGTAGGCATCATAGTCTGTAGCTATCAGACCTGCAATTTAGCTAGTTGATGCTTTCCTCTATTTCACATTTCAAATTGAATAAACAACATCGCTTGCAACTGTCAAGCCACCTCCGCATTCATAAATATGGCAGCATTTTTTTTTTGTTTATCTATTTTAACCAATCAGCTTACAGAATTGCACATATGACCAAGGAGCATGATTCTTCCAGGACTGCATTTTTCTTGAAAATACCTATTTTCAGGTTAGCAGTGTTGCCTCACTGCAAGAAGGTCGCTAATTCGAGTCCCAGCTGGGCCAGTTGGCATTTCTGTGTGGAGTTTGCATGTTCTCCCTGTTTTAGGGAGTTTCCTCCAAATGCTCTGGTTTCCCCCACAGTCCAAAGACATGCAGTATAGGTGAGCTGGATATAGAGTGTATGGGTGTTTCCCAGTACTGGGTTGCACCTGGGAGGGCATCCGCTACGTAAAACATATGCCAGATTAGTTGGCGGTCAATTCTCCTCCTGACAAATAAGGGACTAAGCCAAAGGAAAATGAATGAATACCCATTTACTGTACTAATTTCTGGGTCTCCCATGTGTTTATTTCACATGTATATTGTGAGCAGTCAAGTTACACCTTGACTCTTGAGCATTGGCTTTCTCATTTAATAAACTCTTGTCTAATTAATTTATGAATAATCACATTCATAGTTTTGACCTGTTGTGAGATAAATAAAAAGAGAAAAATAATGAAGTAAATAAACAAGTGTAGTGTGTCTCTCAATTTTAAACTAAAGTCATATGTCCTATATGTTCTTTTCACCTTATTCTCAGCGTACGAGCGAGACTTCCGGTCTCATTCTCTTCCAGTCAGCTTTAGATGTTAAAAACAGCTTGATACTGTACACTGCTTAATGTTGCAAACTGATATTTTATGATATTATTCTGCTTTGTCTGTGTCATGAACACACTTGTTTGAAGAGCAAGTAGTTTGACGTTTTCTGCCGTTTATTATTACTTTTTATTTATTGCACAGCCAACTGAATTGGAAGTTCTAAAACAATCGCAAACAGGGGTGCACTTCTGCATTGAAGGTCAATTACTAGGAATTACTGCAAAAAATTATATAGAATACTAACATTATGGTCACACTGTGCCCAGCCTTACAGTCCGCCCATAATATGGATGTTATGCAGGGCTTGACATTAACACCCGCCAGCCTGCCAAATGCGGGTAGATTTCAGTGGTGGCAGATTAGACAGACGCTCCCTATAGCCAATTTGACTGGTTGAAAATATTATTTAAATTGTAGTTTTTTAAAAGCAAGGTTTGACAATTAGGATGGCCCAATATGCATGCAAATGCAATCTTAGAATCAAGAAGCAGAACGATAAAAATAATTGTGGTCACGCGAACAAAAGAAAGCAGGTGAATACCGAATGAGAGGATAATCATTCGCATGCACAAGTGATGTAATGCGCGCGACTGTTTAAAAAGCACGCGTGCTCCCGTTTTCTTACGTAACCGTGCCTGGAGATGCAACTGGTATGATCAGTTCTTTTTGAAATAAACTGAACAAAAAGTGATGCTCGGGCACTCACAGTCCAGGTGCTCTAGATGCATGTAATCATCCTTTTATCATCAAACACAGTGTTTTTCACCTGCTTTCTTTTGCTTACAGTTCTTTTTTGTTAAAATTATTTAATTATCAGATTAACTCCCCATTTATGTATAGATAACAGGTGATTTAAGACCCAGGACAGATTACTGTGCATAGTTTTAGATATACGAATAATTCTTTTTTTTAAATGTCAGTTGTTTTTGTTTTGTTTTGTTTTTTTTAATTAAAAAAAAATGTATGTATACAGCTATATTTTATTTGTTTTGACACGTTATTTAAAATTTAAGAAATAATTATTTATTTATTTTTTCGTGTAAAAGAGTTAAATTTGGTAAAACCTTCATTTTGAGCCCTGACAAGTTATGTGAAATAAAAACTAATTGTAGTGAAACACTATGAAAACACAACCCATTTGCTCATGCACATTGAGCAGCTCATACACAACACACACAAAAAAGTGAAATGAATGAGGAGGCATGTGGAAATAGCACAAAATCTAAATCAAGTGATTTTAGCATGTCAAAGTCAAATTTATGCATGTAAAATATATTTTCCCATCAACAAAATTGTGGTTATAGTGAAAATGCTGAGTGGCTAGTAACTACTAGCCACAGTGGCTGGTGATCAAAAAAGTTCATGTCAAGCCTTGATGTTATGTAGTTTTGACATTTATTGCTGTAGGTTACCACCGCCATTAACACAGATTAAAGGTCAGGATAAAATATGAATTGATGTTGTCTATTTTCTAATTATTGCTTTTGTTTAAAACACTTTTTTGACCTGTATAATTAGCATGTCAACATAACAACAGACTTGTCTCTGGTAATGTTTGCAGGATGTCTCCAATCATTTAGCCCACTTAAAAGTTCATTTTCCATGTCAACCTCGAGTTATATAAATATATCTGCTGCAATAGTCAAACTGTACACAATTTGGTCATTCTATTGTGTGTGTATTTGTAGAGAAAATGGGAGATTCTGAATATTCCATTTGCTGTTATCCGCCAGAATTGTAATATGTTGTTATAATTAATAAATTGCTCATCTCTGTTACTGTTTCTTTTTTTTCAGTTTGCTCCCAGTTTTCCAGAGGAGTGTACGCTATCTTTGGCTTCTACGATAAGAAGTCGGTGAACACAATCACGTCATTCTGCGAGACGCTGCACGTGTCCTTCATCACACCCAGTTTTCCAGCAGATGGCCTCAACCAGTTTGTCCTGCAGATGAGGCCTGATATTAAAGGGCCCCTCATCAGCCTGGTGGAGTATTACAAGTGGGAGAAGTTTGCCTATCTGTATGACAGCGACAGAGGTAAACACTCGCTCTTCGTTCTGTTTTGAGAAATGTATGCATTCTTTATCTTTTATTCACAGCCAAGGCTTTTTCAGAGCTACTTGCACACACACATAAACACACTCACACACACACTAGAGAATTCAATCAATAGTCCTATTACTTTGTGGTGAAATGCCTCTTGGAGAAAGAGCATGTGAGGTGGGAGTGCTAGAGATAAGCATTACAGTCTCTCTCTCTCATTCACACTGTTTTATTTATATCCATTTTAACTATTTAACCATAGCTTCATCTGTTATTTACTTTCAGGCTCTCAATATCTAATCAGATGTGACATGGCAGGTTTCTGTTGACAGCCAATTTATCTGTCACCATTAAACACAAAACAGCATATATTTTGTGCAACACGCTGCGATGTGTGAAAAATGATAACGCAAAAACAGAAACAACATGTCATTTGTGACTTGTCACTGTTGCGGCTGGTTATTGGACACAATATTATTGTTTGTTTTTTACTAAATCTATAGTGCGCAGCACGGTGACTTAATGGTTAGCACTGTCACCTCAAAACAAGAAAGTCACTGGTTCGAGACCTGGCTGGGCCAGTTGGCATTTCTGTGTGGAGTTTGCATGTTCTCCCTGTTTTGGCGTGGGTTTCCTTTGGGTGCTTCGGTTTCCACTACAGTACAAAGATATAGGACAAAAAACATGTGCTATAAATGAATTGAATAAACTAAATAAACTATGAGAGTGTATGGGTGTTTTCTAATACTGGGATGCAGCTGGAAGGGCATCCACTACACACATAAAAATATTCTGGAGTAGTTGGCAGCTCACTCTGCTGTGGCAACCTCTAAAATAGAGACTAGGGCAAAGGAAAATGAATGAATGAATGAATCTACAGCAGGGCAATACAGATAATTTTCACATTAATTAATGTGATGTTTTATGAACAAATTTCAGAAGAATCATTTTTTGACAAGGCAATCAACTTAAGAACAAACATCAATAAATAGTCAAACACGTCATACCTCTGTTTTCTTTTGACTTCAGCATCTCTCCACCACCCCAAGTCCACACTTTTAAACCCGATACCTACTTAAATATGAAGGGGGAGCATTCTGGTGTCGGGCTACACACTGCGCTTTGACCCTATCGCTCTCTCTCCTGATAAGGGGAATAACATGAGTTAGGGTGTCTTTCTGAGCTCAAAGTCCGCTCCCCAGACAGCACACCAAATATGCATCTATTCAGTCAAATATCTGTAAGTGTGAACTCATGAATAATGTTTAATGAGCTTTATATATAGATATATAATTTCCTGAAGACATGTTTCACTTTCTAAATGGCTGATTCTACATGCAGTTTTATCTTGACTTGTGCTTGTCTGCACATAATAAAATTCATTCATTCATTCATTTTCTTTTTCAGCTTAGTCCATTTATTAATCTGGGGTCGCCTACATATTAAAATACTAAATATTAAAATGTTCAGGTTTTCAGACAGATTTTGAATTGAATAAAACCTTGCACAAATTTTAGGCTCCCATCAGTGCATTAATAAATATCCCCAAATGATACTCAAATCCTTGAATATACATAAACAAAAAATTGAGTATAGTAATATGGCTAAAAAACAATAGAATTAATAGCCTAGTACTGGGTTGTGGCTCGAAGGACACCCACTACGTCAAACATTAGCTAGAGTAGTTGGAGGTTCATTGCGCTTTGCCAAACCCCTGATAAATCAGGGATTTTGCCAAAGGAAAAAAAAAAATAAATGAATGAATGAATAAATACATAAATTAAAAGTTTTATACATTTTTTTCTTCACTTTATAATTAAAATATTCGTTGATGCTGATTAAAGCTACAGTACAATAGTTATTCAGAGCAGTGATTGAATCTCACATTTTGATCAGAGGTGTCACTTCCAACAGATCTTTCAACAAGCATCTGACAGGTCTTGACAGCATTTGGTGGACAAAAGTGTGTGTGTTAAGTAGGGCTGCACAATTTATTGTTTTAACATCAATATCACAATGTGTCAAATCGCAGGTAATGTGGAGTCAAGATTATATTTGACCACAATTTTAGAGTCATTTCAGTCACCACAGCAGAATGAACTTTTCCGGCATATGTTTTACGCAGCGAATACCTTTCCAGCAGCAACCGATTACTGGGAAACATACATACACACCAGTGATGTGCAGTGAGGTTTGTGGCTGGTGAGGCACGACTCTTTCAGGGTCATATGCACGCAATATATTTGCCAACTACCGATTGTGTTTCATATCAGCATTCTTTCCATACTCATGGCAGATACATATTGGACCAAGGAAGACTCTAAAATGTATTGCGATTCAATATGCCTACAAAAAACACCAAGGTGGATGCCACAGACAGTTATAACAAGCGACACAGCATCATGGCAGATGCTCTATTTCTCTCTCTCTCTCTCCCTCACTCACAAACACACACACACACACACACAAGCATGCACGCACACACACACACACACACACGCACAAACACACACGCACACACACACACAGAATTTGCACACTGGTCTTACCTTTACTTGTAAATTTAATCTTGAAATGACTTGAATTACTTTGAAATGATCGAGTTATCTTCTGTCCCGTCCTTTGAAGCAAGCCCTTTAGCTCCCACATTGGTCATCCATTATTTATTCACATTTTGATTAAAAGTCTAACTTTGAGAGATTTTTGAGTTGAGATATTAACGTTACGTCCAAGATTTTTGCAATCAGTCCGAAGCAAGACGTGAGGCACAGCTCGGTGCAGCCTCACCTTGCTTATCAACAGGAGATACGCGAAATACAGCGATTTTGATTATAAAATGAATTGAAATAATTTGAATCATTCAGAAATTGCATTTATAGTACAGATTAGTGGACAAACATTTATCTTATCATTAGTATACATCTCATGATGGCAGGTGAGGAGGATGAAAGGTGAGGCACTGATACACACTCACACACACACTCATACACTACGACCAATTTAGTTAATTCAATTCACCTGAAGCACATACCTTTGTACTGTGGGGAAACCGGAGCACCAGAAGGAAACCCACGGCAATAGAGAGAACATGCAAACTCCACACAGGAATGCCAACTGATCCAGCCAGGACTCAAACCAGCGACCTTTCATTTCAGTTTTATCACAAAGAAAATGTTTATCAGTTGTGTGTGTTTTTAAGGCTTGTGACTGTGTAGGCATTTTAAGTGAGTTTAAAGCATTTGGGCACAATGAATTATTGCATTTTGTAGCTTTAACAAAAATTATTTAATTTTATTATGTATACAATGAAGACTATACAATTTTATTGTACATTTAATTAACTTTATTCAATATTAATGTATAAATAATTTTAAAATAGAGCTATTCATGTTATTTGGTGAAATATTGCAATATAAATTGCAGAAAATAAAAATATCGCAAATCGTCTTAAGCCTTAGTGTTAAGAAAATAATTAATATTTGTAATGTCAAAATTAGATTACTACATAAAAATGAATAATGAAAGCAGCCAAAGTATAGCTTTAGTGACCACAACACAACAACAAACTCCTTTTGCATGCAAAGATGAAAGACTTAATAACTGGACACCTCAAACAGTAAGCCAAATCAAACTGCATTTATGTGAGGTTGTAGAAACTGAGATCGCACTGGTATTACATGACTCACCCTAGTTGTTTGTTCTAAGTCATCTTTAATTTCTGAATCAAATTAAAAAAAACATAGTTTGGCAAACAATATGTTCAGACGATGTGTTCCTCTGTCATTACAAATAAATATGTGTGGAAAAATTCTTCTACCTTATACCCTGCAATCTTTTTTCTTTGCAGTGCCTTCTCCTGGCAACGGCATCTGCAGCCATTTCAAGCACAACATTAAAAAACAAATTTTTTAGCCTTTTAATAACGGTGCAATTACCCATAGTTTGATGTGCGCTAACGTTAGTAAATGGTGTTGCACTAATTAATTAATTTAAATTCATTTATTGATGATAAATTAAAATTCTCTCTTTCCATAAATTTTGCATCTGACCAGGAAACTCCTACAAATGCATATTCAGTAAAGTCAGGCACAAAAATGGCTATGTCCATGTCTCTACAGCAGGGGTGGGCAAACTCGGTCCTGGAGGGCCGGTGTCCTGCACAGTTTATCTTCAACTCTAATCAAACACACCTGTTTATAGATTTCTAGTGATCTTGAAGACACTGATTGGCATGTTCAGGTGTTTTTGATTAGAGTTGGAGCTAAACTATGCAGGACACCGGCCCTCCAGGACTGAGTTTGTCCACCCCTTCTCTACAGTGCTATTCTTCTCTGCAGGTTTTAGTAAATAATAGCATTACTGTTTTAAGGCCAAAAAGACTTTCACTTGTGCAGCCTTTAAATCTGGCCCCTAGTGTACACTTTTACTTCTCCTCAAATCTTGTGTGCAGAAGCTGCTCGGAGAAACAGTGTCTCTTTATCATTAAGGAGCGCCTCCAAAAGTCACATACCGTTACATGATTTGATTGGTTTGGAGGTTGTGTAGGAAGGGCAACAGCACATGGCGTTAATGTAAAGGGATTAAATGTGGCCATTTTCAGAACCATTCATCGTGTTTTTGAACCTAGATAACACAGTTAAATCAGAATTATTAGCCCCCTTTGATTTCTATTAAAAATATTTCCTAAATGATGCTTAACAGAGCAAGGAAATGTTCACAGTATGTCTGATCATATTTTTTCTTCTAGAGAAAGTCTTATTTGTTTTATTTTGGCTAGAATAAAAGCAGTTTTAATTAAAAAATTTTAAGATCACAATTTTTAGCCCCTTTGAGATTTATTTATTTTTTGATAGTCTACAGAACAAACCATCATTATACAATAGCTTGCCCAATTAACCTAACCTGCCTAGTTAACCCTTTAAATGTCACTTTGAATGTCACTTTAAGCTGTATAGTAGTGTCTTGAAAGCTGTATAGTAGTGTCTTGAATATTT